TTTGCATTCTCAATTCTGGGCCTTAACTCTCCTCTCCCTAGTGGACTTAGGAGGACCCAAGGGAAATCCACGGCAGGAGGGACAGGGAGAGTGAAGGGGACAGAGGAACTAGGAATTGAGAGAGAGAAAATGAGCAGAGAATTTGGATACTCTGGGGAGAGGGTCAGAGGGTCAAGGGAGGGAGAGAAGGCCAAGAGCCAGCAGGCTGAGAATAACTCAGCTGGAAGAAAGGGGCTCAGGGCCAGATTTAGGGGATAGAACTCTGGAGAAAAAGCCCAGAGCAGGGTGTGCCCACTGGAGCAGTAGGGACAAAGAGAAAAGCGAGGGAACCAAGTCAAGGGGGCTATCTGTAAGCCCCCAACCAGCAGAGCCCCTGGGGATTGCAATGGACAGTCACACTGCAGCCAGCACACCCCACCCCAGTGGAGGACCATGGAGGTGGGGTGGAGAGGTCGGAGCACACCTTGCTGTCTAGTTTCTTCATGGTCACCAGATCCAGGGACTTGAGAGAGTGGCCGGTGGGCGTGATGAAGTAGAGGCATACGTGGATCCTCGTGTCGTGGTAGTCAAAGAGCGAGCGTCGGATCTTCAGCTCCTCTTGCAGATAATTTTCAAACTGCGCATCAATGTAGTCGACGATGGGCCTGTAACTACAGACAGCTCCATCACCTAGGAGGCAGGCAGCTGAGCCTCACCGCGGGGGCTCGGAGCCAAGCCAGCCTGCCCGCTGGCTTTCTCTCCCTAGGAACAAAGAGCTTAGGGATCCCTGTCTGGACCCCTTCTCCTGACCCCCAAAGGGTCCTCAGGACCTCAGCTATTCCCTGACAGGCCCTCCCCTGGCTCCCGTGGAGTGTGGAGCGTGGTTGTTGTATGGGGACAGATGGGATGAGGAGTGCTCAGGGCAGAGGGCTGGAACCAAGGCCAACATGGGCGAGGTGGGAATGAGGCTGGGTGGGGCCGCCCTTCCCGCCTCTTGCCTCTCATCTTTATTGATCTGATCCCCGAAGCCCACGGCATCCACGATGGTCAGCTTGAGCTGCACGTTGCTCTCTTGGAGGTCGTAGGTCTGGGGCCGCAGGCGCACACATTCCTCGTGGTGACTGGCTTCCTCAGTCTCGAAGGTCGTGTTGAAGAGTGTGTTCATCAGCGTGGACTTGCCGATGCCGGTCTCCCCTGGGAGAGGGGTGTGGAGGGGAAGGGATGTCAGAGGCTGGAACTAGGGCTGTCCCTGGCTGTTGGCTAGCTGGGTGGGGCTCAGGCATCCTCAGCCTCCAAAAATGTGAGAGGGGCGGGCCTCCCACTGCATCCCTCACTGCCCGGTGCCTAGGAGCCATCCGTTCTCAGTGGCCTCAGAAATAACATGTGGAAGAGTCAAAAGACTGACTTGGACATGAAATGTGGCTACTCAGAATGTGTAAGATGTTTCTTCAGGGAGGGGGCAGAGGTAGAGCCAGGCAGTGGTGAGGCATTGACATTTGCTGGCCTCAATGGGACCCAGTCACCTGCCAGGTCCAGGATGGTCATGGGGCCAGCATCTGAAGCCAACAGAGGCTTTGCCCAGCTGCTCTGGGTGGCCCCAGCGACATGTAGCTTTTACTGGGGGGGTTAAGGAAAGGCTGCTTCCCAGGAGCACCCACAGCCCGGCAGAAGAGACGGGTAAGGCACCTGTGGAGAATCTGGCCAAGCTCTTTGTGCCTCTGGAAGCTCCAGGCCCTGAGGCACATGGCATCTCCCAGAGCTTTCCTGTTTGGGGCTGTATTTGTTCAGATGTGTGTGGGACCTCTTACTACATGATACTAGAATGGAGGAAGAGTCTTGTTTGCCTTAGAGTCCTAGACACATAGTAGGAACATCAGTCCATGTGTTTTAAATAAACAAACAACCTAAATCTCTGTGATAAATACTCAGTTTACAAAGCACCTTCACATGCCTAATCCTGTTTACTCTTTAAGGCAACTCTGAGTCAGGCCTGGCTCCAACTCTGTCCTTGACCCTGGCAGAGACACCAACCAAAGCCTTATTGTGACCCCCTAAAGTGTCACTCTGCCTGGGAGGTCCCCTTGCAGCCAGACAGGTGGCCGGGGCAGCAGTGCCCCATCTCCCAGAAGGCCCTCATCTGTCCTCTGAGGCTGCCCCCCGGCCAGGCCATGGCACTTACCCACACAGAGGATGTTGAAGCTGAAGCCCTGACTGACTGACTTGCTGACCAGCTGATCAGGGAGGCTGTCAAAGCCCACATGGCCGCCCAGGGAGAGGCTCCGGGGCTCTGGCTCTGCATTCTGCTGAGAGAGAAATAAAGCAAGGCAGTGAGCCCAGTGGGGAAGAGGAGCCAAGCTGTGGGAAGATAAGCCTGGTCAAAAACCCCACCTGAATTCTCAGCAAATCTCAGGACACAACATGAGTGCACCAGAGCTCCAATTCCATGCCAGGTTTCCACAGAGGGAGCCCAATGAGCCTCATGGCCTCTGAGTCCATCTCAGAAAAAGCCCTTAAACCCATGGCTCTGCTCCATCTGGGCTGGCAAGGGGTGCTGGGGCCTGGGGCATCTCCTGCCTGCCACCCCTGAGGGCTCACCTGCCCTCCTGCACAGGAGACCCCAGAAGGTCCCTGAATCTTAAAGATTTCAAGAGGCCAAAACTGAAGAGTATCATGTTCTTGGGGTTCCCTCCCAGACCTCCTAGACCCTCCTACTGAAGTCAGACTCAAGCAGAGGCAAGTCTGGCTCCACCCCTCGCTCAAGCTCTGTGTAGGGACCTCCACGTGCACCCCTTGTTTCTCACGCACCTGAGCATGGAATGCATACATGGGCCCTGCTAAAAGGGGCCTGCGCTCACTCAGACCCACCACTGGGTCTCAGGGCGTCTCCAAGGCATCATGACTCTGAGGCCTCCTCCCTCCTGCCTCAGTGGAGTTCTCTAGGGACCCCCAGGCTCTGGTTCGTGCCACCCTCCCACTTCACCCCATTGTTTAGGCAGAGGACTCGGATGAGAACATGGAGACCTGGCCTTAGCAGAGAGGCAGGCTGCAGGTCCTAAGTAAACTGGGGCCCCTAGAGCTGGCCCACAGCACTATAAAAAGAAACCACCAGGTCCTGAAGCAAAGGGTCAAGGTCAGACTCCAATTTGTATGGCTACCCTGGGAATGGGGGTAAAATGCTGTCCTCTGAGGGAAAGTTCCCAGGCTCAGCCTTCCTGGGTTTGGCCCCTCTGACGGGCAGGCCCCAGACAGCTCCATGTTGGGCAGAAACATGCCTCCTCTATTCCCAGTCCCCTTGCCCTGACTGCCAGCTAGAAAGAGCAAGGACAGGACAGGGCAGTAGGTCTGAGTCTCATCCTGTCATCTCATCCTGCCATCCTCTCATCCTGCCACAAAACCAGAGGGGAGGAAACAGGCCCAACTGAAGGCAGCCCCAGGAGCTACTGATTAGGACAGTGGCAGAGGGGGCTCAGGACCAGAACATAGGACCCTGGCTCCCCACCCTCCCACAGAGGGGTCTCCACAGCACCTGAGCATTCCCTGCCCTCTCTGTAGCCGTGGCCTGTTGCCTTAGCCTGAACCCCTCCAACCACTTTCCTCCCAACCAGAGCCCCCTGGCACTCACAACTGGCCTTCTCTTCTCCACTAATTATGCCCCCCCATTCCACCCTCAGCTAAGTCACTGTAGCCCTGCATCGATGACTCCCAAGTATGTGTGTTAGCAGTCAAAACCCCATGTGGCCCCTCTGGCCAGTTATACTGTCCCCTCAAAAAGTCAGAGTTACCCCTAAACCTGTTCTCTCCAATGACCCTCTCTCAACAGAGCTTCTGTTCTTGTAGCCAAACCTTCCTCCCCATCCTGTCCCAGTGATCATGTCCCAACCTCCCCACTCAAGCCCAGGTCCCCCAAGGGCTGCAAATATAACCCAACAAAGAGGCTCCAAAAGCAGATTCCTCTCACTGGTGCCCACATCAAATACAGTAAGTGGAGCGTGGGATGTGCTGGGTCAGGTCCAAACCCCCTAGCACGGCATCCTAGCCCTTCGTGGTCTGAGGCCTTCCTCACATGCTCAGTTCCCGCCCAGCTGGTTACCTCTGAATTCACTTTTCAAATTCAGCCCCTTCCTTGGGTTCCAAAGCTCACTCTACCTTTTCCCTGGCTCGTGCTCTGACCTGGCCCCTAAGAACTTACATTCCAGGTCCCTCACTTGGCAGTGACCCCATTTCCTTGTACTGTTAGCTGTCCTGTTTTTTTATTTTTATTTATTTATTGATTTTTTATTTTATTTCAGAGAGGACAGGAGAGGGAGAGACAGAAACATCAGTGATGAGAGTCATTGATCGGCTGCCTCCTGCACGCCCCCTACTGGGGATCGAGACAGCAACCAAGGCATGTGCCCTGATGAGGAATCAAACTGTGAACTCCTGGTTCATGGTTCGACACTCAACCACTGAGCCACGCCTGCCAGGCTTTTTTTTTTTTTTTTTTTTT